AAAATGAAAATGCATCCACGATCTTATATTAATCAGCTATATCTTTTGTATTATATTAGTTTCTTTTATAGATATTGATTTTAATTAAGCAATAGGAGAAGATAAGGTTGGATATTTCAACTTTATTATTTCTTTATTTACAATATGTATGGACGTGTAATTTGAGGAAAAAGATGTAAGCCTACTCAATATTACATCAACATTACATTTTACTCAAAAGAAGAACATGTTATATTACTCAAGCTTTAACAAAAGGGATTTTCAAATAAAAATTTGTTATAAATTATAACATATTTATATGATAAAAATATAACTAAAAATAAAATTTTAATTAATATCTAATTATCTTGGTTTAATAATAATTCAAGTCATTTAAATGAGGATTTAATAAAAACCTCTTAGTTTATTTTTTGTCTTAATAGCTAATAGATTAAAGATTGGTTAGTAATTTTATCTTCTAGGTAGTTCTTTTACTATCTTTGAAAGGCCATAAATTAGTAAAAATAAGATAAAATATTAATTAATTAATATAATTAATACTAAGATTAAGTTGAAGATAGGATTGGGCTAAAAAATTTCTAGGATAGATTAGATTGATACCCAAGGATTAACCATTTGAAGGACATGATAGAAATTAGCCCTCTAGCTATTAAAAAAATTACCCAAGACAAAATATGGAGGCATTTGGAGATCTGAAAGTAGGATTAAAGAGCTAACTTCAAGCTGATTTCAAAGGCATATACTTCATTTTATAGGATTTGAGATGATTTTGCAATTATTGTTTAAAATCAGGGTTTATATTAGTGACTTTAGATTTATGCAATTCAATTAGGACTAGCAATCTTAGCTAGTTTGTGCAATTAGTGTCATATCTTTAATTAAAAATTTGATAGTGCTTAATTCATTGAATATGCTAAGAATGTATAAAAGTTTATACTAATCTAATAATGCAGTTGAAAGATATTTGGTTTTTGGTACAAGAAGGTTATTAAAAGTTGGCAATTTGGAGTTGAGTAGGATTTTTATGATATCTCCAAATCTACCAATTGAAACAACGTTAAATTTGGCATGATACTAAAAAACTTAGAGATCAAGTTACATACCAATTTTGAGCTAAAATTAATAGTTAGAGAAGGAGAAATTGCTAATAGAACATCTGCATGAACTTTCAAGGTGGTGGCCCTGTAATATCAATGCAGTTATTTGAATATTTTTTGACAATTTATAAGTTGGATTAGACTGAATTTTTTTAAGTATATAAAAGACTTAAAGTGATATTTTTATAAAAAAATTGTACTAAATAAATAATTAAATTATGAGTTATATCTTCCTAAAGCTCATTGACTAAGATTAGGGTATGCAAAAAGAAATCAAAATTGCTTAAATATGAAAGTAATAAGGCAATTGGAATTTGTATATAATTAAGACTACTAAGAAGAATTTTTTTGAATATTTTGTATAAGCTTTAAGTTTTTTTGAATTAAAATTCAAATTAGATTATTTTTATATAAATGAATCATATTAGGATTTTTTGGATACTTATAAATACAACTTTACCTTCTACAGCCAGGTGCTTGGTACATTTCCAAACAAAAAAACATGTAATATAATACTACTAAGAACCATCAATTCTTGAAGCTACACTTGGTAAGATAATTTTGTAATGTCTATATCCTATATCCTTCATGTTGGAGTTGATTTGTTAAACTTTGCACAACAAAGTAAAAAAATAGTATAAATGCTTATCTAAAAAATAAATATTTGTAAAAAAGATAAATGTATCTTAATATATTTGATACTATTTAAATTTTATTATATTTATTTATTTATTTATTAGATGTAATATTTTGTATATAATGTTTGTTTTAAGGCATGTAATATTGCATGATGCAAATTTACTAAGAACAACTCGTATTTCATTTGTGATGAATTAGAGCTATTGTTGATTAAATTCCAGGCTTTAGTAAATGTTATTTTCTTCTTTTCATCAAATTCTCTTTTCCATGCCTATTCCACATTTTTAAATAGAAATAATACTTTATAATAGGAATAATGTTTTTAAGTCATGTTCTCTTTCAACTAAACCATTCATTAAGTCTCACTAATATTCCACTAGAAAATGCAATATGACATGCTTTTCTTAAATAGATAGTATATGCTTTGCTTTGACAAGGTAAAGATCTACGTGGGCTTTGGATAATCAGATTTGCTAAAGTTTACACAGTTCTTTAGAAAGAAGCCTATTGTCCTAAGAGTGTAGGACTTAGAGTGCAATGGAATTGATACTAGATGTTGGGGCTTAATCTTGAACTTCAAATTCCTGAGATTTTGTGACAACATCACAAATTCAATTATATATAATGTTATATTAATGTCCTCATATTATGTATTGATATATTAATATTATAACATGATAATATTAATATATATCATATTATAATATATTTTTATATAATTATCATATATTATAATATATTAATATATATCATATTATAATATATTTTTATATAATTATCATATATTATAATATATTAATATATAATATTATAATAATATATATTATATTATATTATAGAATATAATTATATATATATATATATAGTAAGATTGCTTAAAAAGATAAGTAGTGGCTTTCATTCACCGCATGGATTGGTCTTTGTTTTCATCAAAAAGATTCATAATTTGTAAAGTACAAAATACATTTTACAGCTCACCATTGTATTTTGCAGTTGATGGGAGAGATCCATAGGGTTCAAGTAGTGGTTCTCAATGGTTGCATGGATGGATATTTATTTTCATCAAAAAAGTTTACCTTCTTTGAAGTTTATAGGGTGTTATATAGGACATTTTATCGATGATTAAGACATTCTACAAGGCATTTCATAATTAATCAAGGCATTTCAAAAGAGATCATAAATCACAAGAAAGGGCTTGAAGCTTTAAGAGATGCTCTGACAAATGAGCAACAATAGCTTTTGATTTACATAGCCTCAAAATCTCTCCAAATAATATCTAAACAAAAGTGTTTAACAAAGAATAGATCTATCAAGAACTCAATTGTTTCAGATTTGAGGCTCATAATATAAGTAGCACCATGCGATGCAAATTCAAGATAAATAGATAAGAAAAATAGTGGTTTTCATTTGCTTTATGGATCTATTATTGTTGAAGTTTAAATAAATGAAAATATTGGAATTTAATTGAATGTGGACGGATTTAGCAACAAGTTATTTGTTACATGCATGCAATGCAATTGAAGGTGTAGTTTGATCCTTAATAGACTATAAACATGGTGCTACTTAGAAACATAGTTGCAGTTTTTTTGTGCTTTCTTGAAGTTGCACTCTACAATTATAATAGACATCTATGAAAAGTTTTTATTTGTTATACCTTGGATATTTATGCATAGTGTTTGAGCTTCTATCAAAGAATTTTTCAAAAAATTTATGAGTGAGAGTATAGAATAAGAATAAGTTTATGGTCTAGCTTGAGAAAAAAAAACTTGATAAAACTTCAAGATTTCAAAAACCATGCTCTTCATTCTTTTAAATCATATTACCAAGCTTTGTATTGCAAAATGAGTGTATTTTTAGATATTTCAAAAGATTCAAAAATTTATATGTGTTTACATTGCATTACATTTTAAAATTTTCATTGTACTTTATATTGTAGAGTATTATACAAAAAATTATACAAAAAAATAAAATTATATAATTTTTAAAATATACAAAAATTTCATTGTGCTTTGCATTATAGAATGAGTGTATTTCTAGAAATTTTAGAGTAAGTTTATTAAGGTGAAATGATTTGAGTGTTATGTGCTCTGTCATTTTGGTAGTTAATTGTTGAGATTTAAAAATAATATATGAGCAATGAAGTAAAAGGTAATTGTTGAAAGTCACTATGGCATTGTAGAAAGTTTAGAAATTATTTGATTGTTAATTTAAGATCTTTTATTTGAGGTGTTCAAAGTAGCTTCATATTGTGTATCTTTTTGTGTAAATTGACTTACATGAGAAGTGCAAGGTTAGAAGCATTTCAAGATATTATGTGTAAAAGTAATAACAATGAATTTTATGATTTGAAACTTACAATTTGTTGACAATTGGAGAGGAAAGGACTTGACAATTGAAGAGGAGAGCTTGATTTTTTTTATTTTTTATTTTTATTTTCTGTTTTACTTCAACTTCTATGTCATCCTTATAGAATTGAATACAAGCTGAAAGAATTCATTGTCTTGTTGTTATAAGCAATGGGCTATTATTTAGGAGTGAGGCGATCAACTTCATTCATAGTGGGCCAATGCAAGAGATATCATGCAATTCATTCAATTTTGAATTATCCTTGGTAATAACATAGTGAGGTGCAATAGAATAAGAAATTATCTGAAATTGTACCAAAGAGCTATGGTGAAGCAAGTGTTGTTTTTTGGCTTAAACTCAATCAAGTTTACTTGAATAGACTACGTTTACACCATATAGATATTATTTTCACAAAGACAAACTAATTTCCAAACTCTTACATGTTTCCAAACTATTGTAAATTATTCTTCAAGAATTATTATATCTTAATACACTTTTATGATTTTTCAATATAATTTAATATTTTTAAAAATATTTTGACAAGTAGTTCGTAAATCAAAATTAACTACTTTTTTTGCATATTATCTATGACAATGGCATAGGTTTAGCTATCCTACTTTGTAGCTGAAAACTCCATTGTGATTTTTATTTTATTTTTCTAATAAAAAATTAAAAAATATTCATTGGCTCACAAACATAACTTTCAAAAAAAATACTTCAGTTGAATCACACTTTTCGTGACAATGACACAGGTTCATCTAGTATGTATATACAATATGTTTTGAACACACACGTGTATGGATATGTATCTAAATAGTTGAAAATTGGATCCAAAGACTTCATGCCATGTGGATCCAAACGCCATGCACCAATCCCGCCACAGCCCTAACACCGCGATGATAAGCAACGTGCTGCGCAGCTCGCAGTGCCACCGTTCTTCTAGAAGGAACAAGTGTCTATTTGCCTCCAATCGACAACGCTGAGCTGCTGCTGGATGGTTTGTGTGCATTGCGATCGAGAGAGAGCTGAGATCAGTTTTTTCGGAACAAACTTTCGGCAACAGAATTGTTGATTGCGTTGCGGGAAGGGATCACGCCGAGGTGGGTTGTTGTTGCTGCTGCATGGTGTCCGTTTTTGCGGGCTTAGTGTGGATTCCGATTTTGCTGCCCAAAGTTGGAATGGCTCGGGTTCGGAGCACCCAGACGTGACCCATATGAGCAGTGTCATTGTAATCAGGAATCGTTTTGCAGGTGGAAGTGATCGTGGTAGTAGACGAGGTTTTTGTTGGTTTGGTATATTCTGAGTGGAATGTCTTGAATCAGCGTCATTGGTTGAGGGGATTTGAATGCGATTTTTTGGTATTTCGGAGAGGGTGAAGGAATAGTTACGATTGCGCAGACTTTTTTTTTTGTGAGTGGTGTGAATTTTCCTAGTGCTTACTTGGGTTGAAGCTAGGGAACAGTCTTTTGCCGCATGTTTGATCTCTTATTTTTTGTAGTTTGATTATTCATTCATTTATTTACTTATTGAAATTCTTTGTTTGTTTGATATACAGGTAGCCATGGAAGGTCAGGTTGGTGCAGGGAAGCGCATTCTGATTTTGGCGACCTCTCATGACAAGCTAGGAAATACTAATCAAGCCACTGGATGCTGGTGGATTTTCTACACCCCGCATTTGTTACATTCAGTATATAATTGTGTATGTGAATTATCAGTCTATTTGGCTACACATCACGTCTTGGATGCTACTCCTGTTTTTAGCCTTCTTGTCAGAGATATGAACAGTGTCCAATGGATTGAATCTTGCCATATATTTTGTGTTTGCAGGGCTGAGGAATTGACGGCTCCATACTACATCTTTAAAGATGCGGGTGCCCACGTCGATGTTGCAAGCATCAAGGGCGGGAAGATACCAATGGGTAAGCGACCTTGCGTTGTCGGTATTCTCAAAGTTGGCCAAGTTATGATGTAGACATATTCATGGTTTACCAACTCGTACGTGGTGATAAGGCTGTATTAATAAAATGAAACGTGTCGTTTTACAGATGAGGCAAGTTTTTCGGAGGGTTTTGTAACCGATCATGTGAAACGCTACTTGGAAGATGGTAACTTGTTGTGTGGATATTCAGTTTTCAATGTATTTGAGTCAATGTTATATTTTGAGAGCCATGACGATTGTTCTTTGCCTGTATATACTTTGACAATTTCTTTTATACTAGGAATGTACAGCATTCGCAATTGCGTGAGTCACGAACTTACTTTGTTTTAAGTCTCTTTAACTCAATGGTTCGTATATTGTTTGAATGCGATTTTAAATTTTCAGGTAATAACTTGTTAGGAATAGTTGAAATTCGCATCAGAAGGTGACATATTCTTTCCATTGCTGCAGAAGAGCTGAAACAACGTGTTGAGCACTCTCTTTCTGTGAAGGATGTTTCCGGAAACTACGATGCACTTTTCGTTCCTGGTAAGAATTGGATCACACTTAAGAACTCCATGGATTTGGTGTCAACCACATATGCAGTAGAGGCAAGTTCTAGGTGTAGAATTTGTTTTTCTACAAGCATGCCTGCTTTTGTTGTATCGACGAGATACTTGTGTCCAGGCGTATGATCCTTCGTTGAGCCCTAACATGTGGCTTGGGGTGACCCTCTTGTTATTTCTTTAATTGGAGTTGGCAACTGTAAGCCCAAATTATTCTTTTGAAGTTTGTCTGCCCTTTGTCTTGAAAAGCAGTTTTGTTAAGTACTGAAAATATGATTCTGGTCCCTGCAGGTGGACATGGTATTATTTATGATGGACCAGTGGATCAGGATTTTATTGCATTGGGCAACCGGTTTTGGGCAGAAGGAAAGATTATATCATCTGTGTGCCATGGACCAGCTGGTCTAGTGGGCATGACTGCCCCAGATGGTACTTCCATCTTCAAGGGCAAGAAGGTAACTCTTTCTGTGAACGGGCGTTCCAGCTTCAGCTGCACCTGTTGCTCACAAATACAAGGTTTTCTTATTGAGTATACCAAGAAGAATAGACTAATCGTTTGTGATTGCTTGCTGTCCAGGTGTGTGGATTTTCTAACGCAGAGGAGGAAGCTGTTGGAAAGACTAATGTGGTGCCATTTCTTCTAGAAGATAAGCTCAAAGAACTCGGTGGATTGTACGAAGCTGGACCTAACTGGGTATGTTCTTCTCATCACTAAATTTGTCTTTGATACTTCTGGATTTCTTTCATAACTTAATTTGCTTCATATTAGCATGTGGGTGATACCTCTTCTACACCACATTGGTTGCAATTTCCAGCATGCTTCCAGGTATTGGTTTTTTCACTTACTAAGACTGCTTTTCTGTTATCATTTTGGAGCTCACTAAGATGTCTTGTGCGTGATTGCAATGTAGCATCCGAAAGCTGCTGCAGACGGACAGTTGGTTACTGGACAGAATCCAGGGAGCTCGGCTAAAGTGGCTGAATTGGTTCTGGAAGCTTTGTCCAAGTAAGCGTTGTTTCAGTATATTGCAACCTGGATACTCATAATTGGAAGTTGTATACAAGAGATAAACTTATCTTGGATAATACCTGTATGTTTGTGCCTTCCTGGTGCATTTGTGATTATCAAGTAACGATTTGATTTTAGCCTATATGGTTGCTATTTTTGCTATTCTGGGATTGTGATAAGTTGCTGCAACTGAATGAAAATATGTTGGCATTTGCGCTTTCTTCTCCCGCAACTCTCTCCCGCAAGGGGCAACTTACGGAGTGTGTACTTTTATTCGAAATGAATTCAACTCTATTATTTGGTTTATTAAGATTGTAGAGAATTGAAAATTTGTTAAATGCTTCATATGTCCACAATTCTATTCTACTTGATATATGCTTGGAGAAATAGTGCTCTCGTAGTAGAATTGTTTATGATTTAAAGCTCCAGCCAATGACTTGTTGATCTATTCCTGATAGTCATAACATGGGCTAAATCGCGATTGCGAATTTCTATGAGGTTTTATACACAAGTGCAGTAGATACCGAAGCGAAGTCTACGCTTCGAACTTCTACAGACACAGACATTCAGTGGCTATATCCGAGATTCCTTATTAAACCTTGAGCAATTCTGTGAAGAAATCACCCCAGCTTCTAAAACTCCTTTACATGCAGAACCCCGTTTTCATTCGTCCTGTTTGCCAGCCTCTTGATTTTACACAGGATGCGTATTACTTCGGACAAAATAGCACCTTTCGAGTTCTAAATTTGCAACACTATGTCTGAGCTGCTTTGGCAAAATACTAGCTCATCCGAAGTTGAGGATGAAAAGAGTTGAATGTAATTGTTGGTAGCAAGAGATACTTTTTATTTTTATTATTTTGACTCAGATCAAGTGACAACTTGTTGATGGTCTTTTGGTGAAAATGGGATTTGATAGATAGGGTTTGAACCTCAATCCAATCTTTCAGGAATATTTGTTTTACTTTTAAATTTATGTTTAAAGTTAATTATCACATAGTAGTTTAAGATTATTTTGGACCAGAGAATGAGCAATTTGAAAGTGATAGAGTTCTTGTGGATACATAAAATTTACAAAGAATTAGAATAATTTGGAAAACTCTTTGGAGGAATAACTTATTTTAAGTCACTTTTATAAATTAAGAGATGTTAAGATTTATAATTATGATGTAAGGTTTGTTGTTTCTACAAAAAGTTGTTCTTTGAAGTTTCATTTGTTGTATTTAATTATTAGACTTAAAATTGTTATTGAGGAGTTTTGTTCAAAATTGTTTCAAATTTTATTAGAAAGAATACATATCAAAATAAACTATACATATATACATATAACTTTTAAAAGAACTTTGATAAGATAAAGAAGGTATTGTAACAAGTAAAGTAGTACTTCTTAAATGACTTATTTAAGGAAAAAAATAATATATATATATATATATATATGTATATATTTTTTGAATTGAAAAAATAATTTAGATACAAAACCAATAAAATATTATGATTATTGCATATTTAATTTTTAATATTGAATATCATTGCATGTTGGATATTCAATTAGGAATAAGATTTTTTTATTCAACTTTAAGGTCTTTATTTGTTCCTATGTAATTATTACTTTTAAAAAATTTTAAGTAGTGATTACTATCATTATTATTATTATTATTATCATTATTTTAATATCTATTCAATAAAATTTACATAACATTAAACTTCATCTATAGAAATAGTCTTCATTGGATTATAAATTTGTACAAAATCTCAAATATCTAAGCAATACCTTCTGTTTTCAAATTCATATTACTTATAATATTTTAAACCATTATTAATTTCATGTCAAGATAATTCAAATTATGTCTTGATTGAGTATAATCTAAACTTACACCACTTTTTTTTTTGCTTTACTTATCTTCTTGCAAGTAACAAGGTGAAAGTTGCAATCTTTTCTTTCAAAGACAAGTATTTTTTTTATTGCTCTTTTTTAACAATGCATCCCAAATTGATTCACATTGTGTAGCTTTTTAATACAAGTTTAATGACCAAGAATAATCCTAATTGTATTTTAGATATTTTAAAGAACATCTTTAAAATTAAAATAAAAGCTTTATTTTTACTCAAATTCCTTCTATCAATCTCTTAAAAAATAGAGCCTATGCATGTGGCATCAAGTATAACAATTCTTAATAAATAATTTTCTAAATAAAATATTAAAACTAATGTACTAGTTGAATTAGTATGTTTTCATTTTATTACTTTATCAAATGGGTTTTTATATGTTTGCTGATAATATGTTGCTAATAAGGCCTTGATTCAAGCCCCGTAATGTAACACTTATGTTCACAAGGAATTCCTTCTCAACCGAAGCATAGTTGACATTTCATCAGCTTTTTGAGATGGAATCTGGAGTCTCGCTACAACTGCAACAAATAAATGAGAGGATTACGCCTCATGAAGTCCATTTCCAGGACCCATTTTGAAACATGAGATTTCACAAATGCTGAGGGTGACGGAGGCTGTGTTCTCACATGATGGTATTTTCTGCACTTTGGATCGTATCGCGTTGATCTATGCAACTGAGAGAGAGAGAGAGAGCGAGGGAGCAAGCATCTCATGCTTGATTTTTGAATGTGACATGGATCTCACACATTCACATTTTTGGGACATGTGGGTGACGTCTCAGAGCTGGTATTAGTGGAGAGTTTTGAACCAATTAGAGGTTTTGCATCGATGCTGTGTAGCTGCGTGATAATGTGGGAATTGGATCGTATCGGGGTTATTTAGGGTTTGAAGAAGAGAAGAAGTCGTTTCGCCCTCACAGTTTGGACTCGATGTTTCTCAAGCTATTTCCCGTCCTAACAAGCTCTCAGATTCTCTCACTTGCTTATAAAAACGTGAGAATGTTTGTAATAGAGGCGTGCATAAAACTAGCACCGTCTATCTTGCCCTAATTGTTGTACTTCAGGGTTTGCTAATCCCAACCAAATAGTACGTAACTCAAATAATTTTCAGTGTTAACGTGGACGTATGTAGTTTTTGAGTGTCCAAGTGTGGAGTAGAATCATCATGGCCTAACATGTGGCAATTCTATGTCAGTTTGGACGTAATTAAAATGCTGAGGTGAACCACTTGGTACAGCAAATTTCAGTGTTTAAGAGCAGTTGAAGCTTCGTTTCATGCTGATGGGTGACGTTGCAAGCTGAAACTAAAATGCTTGGAACGTTTTATTCCATCATATTAAATTCTTCAAGACACATTTCATATTCTGCAATGCCCTGTAGCATTCTACCTTCGCAGGAAAAGAGATGCAGTTTTAGCACAGAATCCACTGATTTTCTTTCATGGACACAGAACGGCTGTGTAGAATGATGAGCTTAAAATAAGAGTTACTGCAATGTGTTTTCTCCCGCCTGGTTCACTGGTAATCATGGAATTGCACGTAATTCTTCTTCTTCAAGTGTGCCTCGCATGCGAATCCTTTGTACATAGACATTCAGTAGGAGCTGCAGCACCAAGTTTGGACGCAAGACCTTCAACCCTGAAATACTCTGGAGATAACGTCACTATTGCTTGGAAAGATATAGATTCACCATCAAAAGACGACTGGTTAGGTATATATTCTCCTCCAACTTCTGCGAATGACCAATACATTGGTTTCATCATTCTCTCGACTTGCCCAACATGGTCCAGAGGTGCAGGCTCCATGAAGATTCCATTGGTCAACATGCGAGGTCCTTACAACTTCCGGATTTTTAGAGGTATTTCTGTAACCCTAAACGCTACAAGCAGCAGGAATGTGAATAGATCAAACAACAGGAGCACTACTACAGCGTTGGATAAAGAGGGGAATCCACTGCCAGATGTGTCGACACTGCTCGCCATAAGTCAAGATATTCATTTCTCAAACTACAACGAGCCAACACAAATACACCTGGCTCTGACTTCGAATGAGACTGCCGTAAGGGTAATGTTTGTCACTAAAGATCCCGTAAGAAGCAAGGTTAGATTCGGGAGCGGTGAAGATAACCTAGAGACCACGGTTGAGGCCAATTTTGTGACGTATTCACAAATTGATATGTGCGATGAACCTGCAAGCTCTGTGGGGTGGAGAGATCCTGGATACATACACGATGCTGTAATGGAGGGACTAATATATGGTGGTCGCTATTACTATCAGGCAAGTTATAGACTAAAAGCTCTTGAATCTCATCTCTTCTGTTTACTCCAGTTAGTGAGGTGTAATTTGATGTTTGATTGTTTATGCTTTGTAACAATAGAATTTGTTTTCTCGGTTGCTCACATTTCATTTAATTCAGGTAGGAAGCAATGTGGGAGGGTGGAGCACAACCTATACCTTCATTTCTCCGAATCCTCGCAATGAGGAGACAAATGCTCTATTATTCGGCGACATGGGTACTTCTGTTCCTTACTCAACGTACCATTACACACAAAGCGAGTCTAAGAATACCCTAAAGTGGCTCAAACGTGATCTGGAAGAAATAGGTGCAAGACCAAGCATTATAGCTCACATCGGCGACATAAGCTATGCTCGAGGTTACTCCTGGCTGTGGGATTCTTTCTTCACACAAATCCAGCCCATAGCCGCAACAGCACCATACCACGTTTGCATGGGCAACCATGATTACGACTGGCCTGGACAACCATTCAAGCCATCATGGTCATCTTACGGCACAGACTCTGGTGGTGAATGCGGTGTGCCGTATAGTATGCGGTTTATAATGCCAGGAAGCTCTTCCTCCTCAACTGGATCCTCTCCGGACATCAAAAACCTTTACTATTCCATCAACGTTGGCGTTGTGCATTTCCTCTTCTACTCTACTGAGACAAATTTCCTTCCAGGCTCTGACCAGTACGCTTTCATTGCCAACGACTTGAGAACCGTTGACAGGATTAAGACGCCCTTTGTTGTATTGTTAGGCCACAGACCACTTTACACAACGGATTACCGAGCCTTTCTGGACATTACAACGCAGAAATTGGTGCAAACTTTTGAGCCGCTGTTGATAGAAACCAAGGTCACGGTGGCCTTCTGTGGCCATGTCCACAAGTATGAGCGGATGTGTCCTTTGCAAAACTCCACATGCATGAATCCCTCCAAGGCACACGGCGAGCTTCCAGTTTATATGGTTATAGGAATGGGAGGCCACAGTCACCAGCCCATTGATATTCCCATGGAGGGTCATCCGGAGGCATCGAGGTTTCCACAGCCGGGGTGGTCGACTTTTCGAACTTTTGAATGGGGATACGTTAGATTACGTGCCACCAAGAATTTCATGACAGTATCATATGTTGGCAACCATGATGGGAAGGTCCATGATCGAATTGAGATACCTTCTCCTGAGGAAATAAAAGCTGGGTCTTATGTTGAACCGCAGCAGTCTATTTTTGATACTGCCTTCAAAGAGCCACTCCCGTGTGGGAGAACGGGTAGCACTTTGTCATTCTTGTTTGTATATGCGTTAGGGTGTGGATTAGGAGTTGGTGGTGCGGTTTTCAAAGTTCGGAGGGAGCAGATGAAACAATGGCAGCTTCTTGGATACGCAGAGGGAACTTCTACTTCTGATTCTCGTCTGTAATCAGTTACTTTCAATCTTTTTGGTGGTGTTTGAGGTTTGCGTACGGGTAGATACGATTTAGGGTTTGGACAGTGAAACATATAACCAGAATTATGCTTGAATTCGTGGTTCTTGCAAATGAGCATGCAGAAGAGCATAGATTGTTGCCATACTCAAAACATAGACTTTCACAGCTTGACTTTGTAATTATGTTAGACGATTGTACAAATTTCGTGAATAATGATTTGCTAAGTCAACTGCGACACGTCTGACATTTTGTCAATGCTATGATACAAACTGTTTAGGAATTTCGATGTGCGGTCAACAACTAAAACTGTTGAATGTAAACAAATGGGTTCACCCTGTTTGAAGAATGTAACCTAAGCTCATGATTTCGAACGGACATAAATAGTCATGCTTACTTATCCGCTTCGATCATATTCTAGGTGAACCAAAGCTCTTCTAACAGTGCACACAACTCTGGCATGCAGTTCTCTGGGATAGAATCCATTTTATGGACTGCTCTTGCTCTCCTCCTAGTTCTATCTTTCGACAATCCTATTGGCTTTCTTCTACCAATTCTAGCTCGTCGCTTACGACTCCCTCCTGCTCGCCTCCAAGTGTACACTCTCAAATCCCATGGCCCTGCACACAAGTACGTTCCCCAAAGCATGCAACTATCATACATGAGCTCCAGAAATGAAGCTACCTTGACCACGAAATCGGCTTTAGCAAGGCGATTCCAACATGATCCTACATCCATCTTCTGACAACCCACTCAAACAAAATCGCTCAAGAATCAAAACAGCTGCACGCGTCATATAGCTGCCTTCAGATTCAGAGCATCAAAGTTTTCGACGATCCTGCTACTTAAATCAGCAACTGATAACAGATGCAACAGAAAACTTAATGATCAAGTTAAATACGCAAGCTGAAGGTGCTAGCTTCTCTCAAAACGCCGCTATTTTTATTTTTATCATTCACTAGTTTTTAAGTTATCCAAGAGTTATCCACTTTCTTAGTTATATATTTATATTTTCACAACGTTATCTTAAATTTAACTTGATGTTTTCCTAAACATTTGTCCATGATCTATCATTTTGGTCATGTGTCGTAAACTCGAAGTCAAGTGTGTCATCGTCTATTATGAAACTAACTACGTGTAGTGCTCTCAGTCGCCCGCACCCACAAGCTCGGGTTTGCATGTGACTACCGTTTCGGAGGAACGTAGCAGTCAAGCACAAGAAACGTGACCGGGAACGCAACCACTGCGGATGCGAAGATCGGTTTTTGTGTACAATCAGAGCAGTCATGAGCAATCGGTGGTTGGTGTGTTAAAGGGACCAGGACTGAGGACTAAGACTCGATGATGTCTGTGTGGGTTGTGAGAGCAGGGTATGGATCTCAATTGTGCAGGATCCGAAGCAGCTTTGCATCGCCGCTGCATAGTTGGGTTCATCGCTACCCACAAACAAGTTCGGCGCTCTGAACGAGATTTAGAACCTGGCGCCGTGGGAACTGAAACCACACCATATTGTGACCTGTCTCCGCTCATCACTTTTGGTGCTCTTGCTAGAAAATGCCGCATTATGGGATGTGGGTTCTGCTATGACCCTATCTACCTAGCAGTTCATGTCAAATTGAAAGCTAAAAGACTCATCTTGTGAACTTGTTTTTTCAAATGGAAACAACAATTGTTAGTAATAGAGAGAGCGGCAGGTTGCAAAAAACGAATGCAAATTTGCAAAGTAGTGTAATTTTTTATGGTGGAAATTTAATCATGATTACCGAAACTTAAGCATGATTATAGAGAAACATATAAATATAAATAAAAAATCTAATCTTATAGATTAACTTGAGAATAAAATATTATGTGGTACAATACAAAACATGGACAAAAATTGGCTTCTTAAGAATCAAATTGTGCAAAACAATTATTAGTATATTAATAAAATGTGATAAAAGATATTTGAGAGTTAGACCAAAGAATTATCCTCTTTAGTATAAGATAATCAAGATCAAATTCAATAAACTAGATTTTTTGCCTTTCAAATAGTTGTTATTTCATTGCTTTATTGAAATTAAAATACTTTGTTATTGACATCAAGTTATGTTTAGAAAATTCTTAAGTTAGTTGAATATATTATTAAAAATATTAAACTATACAAAATATATATATATATATATATATATATTCTTCAATTATTTTTGAAATATATATACACATTTTTTAAATTATATTTTTAAATTAACTTAAAAAAAACTACAAAAACTTGATACATTTTGTAAATAGTTTTTGTATAAAAATGTTTAAGTGCAAATATTTATAACACTACAATCAGATAAATTTAAAAACATCAATTAAATTATTATTGTATTGTATATTTTTTGTTGAATAATCTCTTAAAAATTAAAACCCCTAATAATTATTTAAAATTTTGATAACTAACTCTATTATATGGTGTACAATTAATGACTTTTGATTTCTAAAAATTAATAGATTTTCATCAAAAAAATTAATTAAAAAAATTAATTAACATAAGCCATGGCTAGTAGGGCCATCTTGCTATACATAATTGGGCAAGGCAAGGTCAAATAGGTAGGGCGGGCCATGTAGCTACCATTATGGAAGCAACCAACCTAGATTGTTGAAGCTTGATAAAGATGGTTGTCATCTTGGCTTCAATGTGCCACCTCGGATAATTAATAGCATTTGATCATTAATATTACTGTGTGCAACAAATGATATTAATTAACTAGGAGAACAATATATAATTTTCTTGTCTAAATTTTGTATTTATTAATAAATATAATAGTTATTATTTTTTAATACAAATCAGTATACTACTTTAACAAAAACATGTTCTAAAGTTGAAAACAAAAGTTTTAAGCTATACATACCACACATCTATATGTTTAAACATCAAATTCCACATTTTTTTAATCACTTATTTTTAAATATTTTTCTTTGATTTTTTATTTTGAATACAAAAATAGATTGGATGATAGACTTTGAAATATCCTATGTTATAAAAGGTAGCTTTCCATGTTCCAATTCTCTAGAAAATTCATTACGTGTTAGAAAGAGAGAAATATATACATACATATATATATATATATAGAGAGAGAGAGAGAGAGAGAGAGAGAGAGAGATATATATATATATATATATATATGACATCTCCTTGATTTTTTCAAAATTTAAAATTCTTAGTATTAAATTTTGTTGAAGCATCAATGATACTGAACAGTTGTAGGGCACCCCTGATCTATAGCCTACATGTTGGATCCTCAATATTAAAAAAAAATTGTAAAGTGTCCAAGGAAAGGTATTAATAAATACCCAATCCCTTTTGAACACATTGAATCACGAGTATTATTCTTTTCTCTTTTTTTCTCTTTTCTCTTTTTTCTTTACCCATTCTTTGATCAAACACCCACAAAATATATAAAAACTTTATACAATTGTGTGAAACTTAATGAATAAAAACACAGCACTATTTTTCTCAAAATAAATAAGTCTTCAACAACACAGTCTTCATCACAAACTGCTAGCTCTAGTTTCAAATCTGTGGTTGCAAATATGCCAATACCACATTAAACTACTATACTAAAAAAACTAAAAACTAAAAACTAAAATAAATAACAACAATTACAAATTCCAGTAACTTATAGTACTAACTTTCTTACTTACAATAGCAAAACCTTCACCTAATTATTAAGATTCTTGTTATCATGATACAACTTCCTTTCTCTATATATTGAAATATACACACGCACACAGAGAGAGATATAAAAATACACACATATATATCTACGTGGCCGAGTCTCCGTGGCGGTGATGCTTTCTAGGCCACTGTGAATGTGCCACGGTGGCGTTCGGGCACAGAAATGTGACAGTTGGCGGAACTGCTGGCTAAGAACCTTCCTTGCAAATTCCTTTCGATTGATTCCCTTAATTAAGCGCCGGAATTTGGTATTTGAATTTCTCACTCTATGTCTCTCGTAAGTTTGTCTTGCAGTGTGTTTCTCACTCACTCTACCGATCTTTCTACACCGAGGGGTTGGGGATGAATTGAGTTGGAAACTAGCTGCAGTTGCATTTCTTTTTTGAACCTGATTGTTACGCCGGGACTACCACTCTGTGTTGAGGAATTGATGATGGTGCGCAATTGCTGGCTCCGTGGATGAGTGACGGTGGATTGTTGTGGTTAATTGATGTTTAGCTTTCTCCCTAAACTAGCGCTCCATGTCGGGAGGAAGCGCGTGGGAAGAGACTGGAAATTAGTGCGCGTGCAGCTATCCGGCATGTTTTGGTTGTGAGTTTGATTGATTTGGTGTCGAGGTGACCATGGCGGAGAGTTGAGGCTGGGGGATTTGAGTTTTGAGTCCCTGAAATTGGTGGAAGGAGAATCGTAGGGAGGAATTTGAGGGGCGTTTAGGGTTTCAGGGGTTCAAATTTTGCAGCTGGAGTGGTTGCCGTGGATGACGCGTATGTGAATTACGTGGTGCATGCGTAAGATATCGCTGGATTGATGCTGTTGCATTGTTTCACCTCAAGAAAGCATCGTGCAGATGGGGGATTTGTGTGATGCGCCCGCGGCACTTTTGTCGGTGTCGAGGCCACTGGATTGTGGTTGTGGTGTGTTTCACTGCTTGCCCTCCTTCTTTAGAGGAATTTTTGTGCTGGCGCTTGTGGAGATTGTGTGTGCATTTTATTTCATCAGCAAATTGCTGGCAAGAAGAGCAAGCCATCCGCGCTCCACCTCGTCATTGGAATTGAAAAGTGAAGCTGACTCCTTCAATTTCAGCCTTCAGGTTGTTAATTGTACACACACACACACACACACAATGCTACAAAATGTGGATTCTGATCAGTGAAGCCGTTGCTCTATCTCTACGCTTAACGAGCTAGTTTGAGAATCTGACACATGTTTGATCATTGAACAGGGGGCTCTGTGGGTTTCACCGCTTCCTGAAGGAGACTTGAGCAAAGCTGTGTTACTCAAGCCCGGAAAAGACAAGAAGAAAGAGAAGGAAGACAAAGATGGTTCCAAGGAGAGTGCGAAGCGGGTTGAGGCCACGAGAGATGTGCCGGAAATCACTCCTGTGTGGAGGCATGTCGTTCTGAAGGATGGAGTTCTGTTTATGAAGGGAGCTGATGGTGTTGAAGAACAAATCTCACTTGAAAGCTGCGAAGTTTTGTCGGTCTCATCCAGCTCACGTCCAGATGGGAAATGGTACGTGTTATGATCTTTATCCTCTCCTATCTGTGCCGCAGAATTGACTGTACTTATTCTTCGGTTTTAATACTTAAAATATGGGATCAAAGACTTCATGTCTATGGAATATTAAAGGTTTTCATTTCTCACAATATTGTGTTGGTTATGTGCCTCTTATAAATTTTCTTTTTCCAATTCGCGTATGCGTGTATGAGAAGATTAACCTTGATTTTTCATGGCATGAAAACGTGGATTACAGGGCAAGAAGGTTTCCTATCAAGTTGTACCATACTACTCGCACAATATATCGCCAGTACAAAGGTTGCTTATTCTATGCTGAATCAGGGTATGAGAAGGAAGCCTGGTGTGAAGTTCTTCGAGCGACCGCTAGGGCAAAGGGCTATGATAAGGACTGGTATTCTAGTGTGAAGAAGGAATTCTTGGAATATACCAGTGCAGCTGAGAAGCACGTGCCTTATCTGACCAGGTTTCACTCAACAACAAAAATAAATCATCGTGTCGCCAAGCCTACGGATGAGCAGTCAGATGACCACAAGCAATCGGACGAAGGTGTATCGAAGAAACGTTTGATTTTGAACAAACTCTTGCGACGTAATGGTTCAAAGGGAAAAGACGTCAAAGATTCCAAGGATGAAGGAAACAGCAGGAAGGGGAAAGGAAAAAGTCTCGTCTCGGATGACCATGAGGATATCAAAAGTACATCTAATGGAAGCCATTTGAGCAATGAGAGCCATACTCGAAGTGAATCTACATCTAGTGACAGCGATGGAGACAAGTCGATTTTGGCAGTTTCTCAGAAAGACAATGAAGAATCTGACGAGGTGCTTCCGTCACCCCTAGTACACGGTCATGACAATGTAAGGGATGAGAAGGAGATTGACCAAGGACAACTTTGTTTGAACATGATCGTAGGCAGACTCTTTTTTGATTTCTACCACAGCAAAACACGGGTTAAATGGTTACAAAACCAGTTCCAGGCAAGTTTTCTTCTTAAGAAAATTTATTCTGTGAATGGGGTTTTTTACTTTTTTTTACTTTTTAATTTTAAGTCGATTTTTTAATCAAGCTACGCTAATATTTTGGCTTCTTTAAGTTTTTCAGAAATTAATTTCACGAATTAAGACACCCAACTACATCAAATCCATTACAATCAAAGAACTTGATCTTGGAAAAGATCCTCCTTTCGCAACAGCACTTCGCATGCTGCCTGCGGATGCAGCTGGGGCTTTGGCTTTGGAAGTCGATCTGGAATGGCAAGGCGGATGCTTCATCACAATTGAGACCCGAGTCGATGTGCGGGATCAAATTGCACAAGATAAAATTGCTTCCCAAATGGCGGAACCAGGGTCGGCAGGGGCTGCTGCTGCGGCAATTGTATCAGGCATTGGGGAGGACCTTGGGACTCCAGGATCATCAGATACGTCCGAAGTGGTGCAGGCTAGGCAAGCTAGTATCGCCAAAAACTCTGGAGCAGGTGCTACGAGTATTTCCTGGAAAGTGTGCTTTTCGTATAACATGTGATAAAACGAATAGTAATATTTTTTTGATCTGTTGTTTTAATGAAATTAGAATGCTCAGAAAACCTTTGGATGACTTGAAGCAATATTTAGTACAATAATTTAGGTTTATGGTTTCACATTCTTCATCAAATCTTGATGAATCCTGAATTCTTTTTCGAATGCTGCATTTCAGTACTCTAGAGAACGTGTAAAAATTTAAAACCAGGTAATGATATACTGCTAGAGGTTCGTTACTCAGTGCTAGCGATCCTGTCAATTTAAGCAGGTGATGACAGTAGCAAGAAGGGAGGATGGATGAACTCGGTGAAGTCCATGATGTCTCGTGTTGCTGTTCAGGTCTCTCAGGTCTGTTGAGCTTTTTCTGTATACTGCCCATTTTATTCGTAATTTCATTTACATATTTTATTAGTGGATATTGCATCAAGTATATTGTTCGAGTGTGTAGGTATTCTCTGCATTTCTAATTTTTTGATTGGGTACGAACGGATAGGTGCCGCTTCTGCTGAAAATCAGGTTGGTATCAGTAAAAGGCACTTGCATTGTAAGCTTGAGAGCACCACCTTCCGATCGCTTATGGTTTTCTTTCAAGGAGATGCCAGATATCCATCTCGAACCCGAGCCATGTATTGGTGATCATCGTATCAACAGCGGGCTTTTGGGTAGCTATATTGCCAATCAAATAAAGGTACTACTGCGTTCCCCTACATATATTTCCTCATGTTTCAGCTTTTTTCCTAATGGAAATTATGCTCTTTTGGGTGAGCATCAGCTCTTCTGGTTCACTAAAGGTTTGGGGTGACAGAAACTTATATATTTGTAAACAGGGCGCTTAGCTCTGTACTGAGGTTTTTGCATTCCCTTGTGCAGGTGCAAATTCGTGAGCAAGTCGTCATGCCATATTGTCAAGACCTCTTTCTTCACTGGATGATGGCTACACAAGACGACTGGCTACCGCAAAGCGCCATCCCTGTTGCGTTCGCTGCTGTAGAAGTTTCTGAAAATGAGCGTCAAATTTCAAAACAGAATATTGGTGTACAACCTAAACCGATTGAAGAGAACAATAAAAACGGCCAACCAACTCCTTGCACGCCGAGTGTCAAGAATGAACAGACTGACAACGGACAACACAATCTTCACACGCGTCAGATTTCAGTTGCTTCTTCCGGCAGCGCTAGCTATGGTTCTACTGTCTCGGAATCGCCCCACATACAGAGTTCTCCACTTGCACCGCTCATCACACGGATGCAATCTCCTACAATCCCTACCCCTGAAAGTAGTCTTCGAGAGACTGCAGCATATTGGAGCCAATCACAATTCAGACATTCGTTTCCCACTCGCCCACCAGGAGCCTCAACACATTCATCAGCAGTTTCGTCAATACGAGATGTCGATCAATCCGACTTGACAAGACCTTCGCTGAATCGCAAAGAGAACAGCAAAGACAAATCTTTGGGTTCGAGTGCCGGTAGTGAAACAGCCTCGGGTGCATCTGATAGGGAGACGGCTGAACACTCAGAAGCCTCATCTTCAAAAAGAGAGACGCAAAATCCGTCGAACCAGGTACTTCCGACTTTCCCATTGACTAAGACCATGAATTTAGTATCCATGACTTAAAGAGATCCGGAGCATTTGATTCTGATCATTCCAGATTGTTCTGTATTATAGTCTTGTTTTTAGTCATCCTGATTTTGGAGATAGCCTCTGGTTTGTAGGAACGTTGGATTATGCTGTTTCACACATCTTACTTGCTAGTTCTACATAGTTTTTTATCCCATTGGCCATCGGATGTGATTTTTAAAACCCAGGCTGCGTTCTGAGTTGATTGCAGTTCGTCAACCAGGAACAAGCTAAAGCAGATCAGTCAACAGACTCAGATTCAAGTGTGGCAGCAGCACGCACCAAGCTCATTGCACTTAAGAATATGGTGGGGACCAAGTTTGACGAAAGCCGCCGCAGCGTTCTAGAAAAATTGCAGGAGAAGAGAGCTAAGAGCGGTGACGCGAAGAGCCACCATTGCCCAGGTACCGATTAGAGGTACGTGATGGTATAATGTGGTTGGATACTCCATCTTCATGCTGTTTGTGGTGCTGAAATTAGATTTTCCAGCTCTATACAACAGGATAGATAACCATAGCAGCATTCGTGTAAGCATTTGTGCAAAGGATGATATCTGCAGAGAGAAACAAAAGAATTTAGGGACATAGCTGTTGTGAGATAGTGTGTAGTAGAGATTTGCAGCGGGAGTATGTATACGACACCATATTTTCACAGTAGCACATTGAATCTATGAGGCAAGTCCTTGAAATAGTGACCAGTTGGACTAGTCATCAACAACTTTACTATCGCGATGTACCATTGGACATAGTTCTGATACGAGAGACAGCATGTCTATGCGGTATACATTATGCTGTGTATGATTGGGTTTGCTAACTATTTGGGATTTGGTAAGACCGTAGATAAACACAGCCAGAATCAAGGCAAAGCATGAGAGGTGCTATGCAAGTTACTCATGAGTAGTTGATTTGGTGCAACCCTTAGCCGTGAGAGGATGGTTACTGGATTTCGGCCATGCCACCGCTTTTGCTTTGCCACACTTCAAATAAATGTTGGATGAACATATTGCAGCCTCTGTTTCTGTAGGGTTAAGAAGTAAACCTAATTTATAAACTAGGCTTACATAAAATTATGGTTGTAAAGTGGTATTATAGTATTGTCTTAATGAGTAATACAAGTTGTGTGGTTTTAGTGATATTATTGGTGACTCCTATATGTATATTGTGTCACTTCCTTATTGTGTCACTTCTTTGTCCTGTTATTTCTTCTTGGCATTAGAGGACTTTGTATTGAGTTGATTCACTGTTTCTTCTTGTATTTATTTTCTTCTTTCTTGTTACTTGTATAATCTTTGATTCTTTAAACTTCTTATTCTTTCTACATCCTTTTTATTGCCCCCTTTTCAAATATCTACATACATCATTTACAATAACTAGTCAAATAGTGCTTTTTCAAATATCTACAAACATCATTTACAATAACTAGTCAAATAGTGCTAGTTCAAAATGACATGTATATTCCATTACATAGTAGTAGAGAGAAACCTCTTAAATGGCCACAACTATAAGGAATGGTGATCTCCTATGCATAGCATACTCCATAGTATGACCTAGGAGATGTAAAATACACACCATCTATATAAAAGGCAATTGCATTATTTGAAGAGTTGAGAAATAAATGATCAACCAATTCAATTGATTCAATTGTCACAACAATTGAATGAGACCTATAATATAAAAGAAACACTAAGGTAATAGCTATATTTTTCTATTTGTTACTTGTAAGATATTGCCATGTATTAAACACAAGGAAGATCCCAAACTCATGTAGATACATCTACATAGAATATTTCAAACAAACACTATTTCAAATACAATGGTTGTGCTAAACAAATGGAAAGCCATTAGAATGCATGAAAATTAAGATGTTTCATCCTTCATTTTGTCAACATACAGCATTACCAAAGAACTAAAAGACATAAGACACCCATAAAGTGACATTGTCATAGTAAACAAAATATGGAATCATTTGTCCTCTCAATTTGCTAATTTCTCTCAAATACTTCAAAATGATAAGATAATTCATGCATTAAATGAATTAATAAGAAGGCTACAAATAGAAGAAATAAATGCCAAGTTGTAAACCTTATTAATAAATGATAAAGTTTTAGTAGTATGTATTTGATCTACCATCAATCAAAATTGATTCAAAGAAAATTTTGGTAGATTAAAAATCCACAATTATTTGCATCTAATAGCCCAAATATATTCAATAGAAAGCTAAATCAATGAATACTTTGGAATACCCTCACAATCAAATCAGAGAAGTGTGCAAGGTAATTGTGATTGTCGTTTTACTTATTCTATAATTTCTTTCAGAATAAATCTATATAGGAGAATTCGAATACAAGGAAAGACTAAGTGCATGAGTTTTACTTGTTAGGATCACACAATTAACCATATTTCGAACCACTAAAATACTAAGAAACACTACAATGCTTTCTCCTAATAACAATACTCCTTCATCAACTGAAAACAACAGTGTCTAACCTTGCACTCTCAAAAGACCGTTCAAAATACATAATTTCGATCCAACACCAGAAATAACAGACTTCACTCCAACCAATCTGAATTCACAAAATTTTTATAATCACCAACTTTCTTTGTCCAAAACACACACAACTCTCAATAAACAACAATCATAATCTTCCAATAACTCCTCATATAATTCAATCACTCAATACTCCAATTACATAATTAATAACTCATAAATTAATCTCTGATTTATTCTATAGACTCACTTCTCAATATTTAGAAACTATCCATTACTTTTCAACAACAAAGAAAACAAAGAAACAAAGAGATAAAGAGGTAGCACCAAGCTTACCCCGGGTCATGACTATCATAGTCTGGCACCCAACAAACTTCTACAACTCCTATATAATTACTCTTGATTTCTAGATTCTAACCGTAATCCTATAATTAACCACTTTTAATAACTAAATCTATTATCTGTCTTCCTGAACTGACTATTCTATGGACTATTAGTCTATTTTACCAATATCTTATAAAAACGAACTAATATCTATTCTACATAGCTCCACTCCTATTTGTGTAGCATCCTCGCAAATACACAATTGATTCCTATCTAAAAACTACTTAACAAAATTTTACAAAACTACTATTTCCTCTGGCCCACCCAATTGATCATTTGCTGCATTATCAAATGTAGGTTCCACCGAATTTGGTTCTAAATGCAAATCTTCCTCCTCATCCAATCCGTCCATCGACTCCTTTCTCAACTAGTTTGAGAGATCTTCATTATACTTTCTCAACTAATTTGAGAGATCTTCATTATACTTTCTCAATTCACTCACCTGAGCCTCCAGTTTCAAGATCTAGGCATCCCAAAGTTCCAATTGTTGCTGCTGCTGATTCATCCATTCTGGAACATCTTCAATTGACACTTGTGATTGATTCTTCACTATTAACTCTTAATTGGAACTACTACTCTCGAATACACAAGGAACACAAGAAATGGCACTCCAACGAACCCAAAACAACACCACAAAATGACTTTAATTGGTGCCCCACTCCTATTCTTTTACTACCTAATGGTAATGACAACATTTTATCCATACTCTCTGTGGAAGGTAATGGAAAGTAATCTTTTTTGGTGGCCACATTAAGTTTCCGGAAATCCTGATAAATTCGGATTTTCTCATTCTTTTTCGACACCATCACGATTGGAGAAACCCACTTACTATTTGGTACTAAGTAAATAAAACCAACCGCAAGAAGCTTGTCCAATTCCTCTTTCACCATGAGGGAATATTTAGGATTAAGGCAATGTTGCCTGTACCGTACCGGTTTAGCATTCTCCTCTAAAATGATACGATGCTCACAAACTTCAGTAGGGATATCTTTTAGATCATCATAAGTCCAAGCAAAAGTTGATTTATGATGCAAGAAAAACTCTATCCAGCAAATCAACTCATGTTCCTTAATATCTTCGTAGACCTTAATTGTCTGAGGCTCTGTTGTGGTTGCCAAGTTAATAGTTTGACATAAAGATGGAGCAACGATGTTCGGTTTCAACCCTCGCGCTGGTTTAAAATCAGTCGGTAAGTCTGACATGTGCAAAGTACTGAATCCTATGTCCAAGGCACTCACATGGTGCACATCATACTTGGTCATCCAATCAATACTAACTTTAGTAGAGATTTTCGAATCCGACAGGTATATCAAGTATTTTCCTAGACCTCCACATTGGTATATCACTCCAGGGTGTTGGATTGCTTCCATGGATGCCTCCGTAATCAATACTATTGTATCATCATCGGAGATAAGCTCATCGTCCGATGTCAATTCAGATGCTGACAATTGAAACTCTCCGTGATAGTATACTGGGTACATTTGTAAGACCATTTTATCTCCGCCCTTGCCAATTGTCAAAGTATCTTGATTCTAATCGTTCTTGGCCTTTTTTTGATAAAGCCATGGTCATCCCAATAAAATTGGATACGATAAAGTCAAACGTTGTAACCGAAAGACGATGTAGTCAATTTCATACATAATACCGGCAATTATAGTCTGAACACTCCATAAAATATCCATTGATTTAACCCCGCTATGATTTGTCAACCTTAATACCAATGTTGTGGATACTAAGTGTTCTAAATCTAAAGCATCCATTGTATTAGCGTTCATTAAATTGACGCTAGAACCACCATCCACGTGAACACCCGAGATCATAACACCATCAATCGAAACATCGATGGTTGGTGCACCTGGATCAGGATTCAAACTGACTTCACAAACTTCCTTATTGCATTGCCTATGCAATGTTAATGATGAATTCATTGTAGAACAGCACTCTAGTGCGACTGCTAGAAGTTGCTTCATAGAAATAGAAGGCCAAATAGCATCTAGATCCTTCAAAATGTCATAGGGTTTCATATTTAAGGTAATTTCCAATGCCTTCTTTCTTTTCATTGGGTTGAATTTAACTCCGAGAGGTAAGATATTCTTCTGTCTTGGACTTAGAATTGGAACAGTAGCCGGAGCTTCTTTGAAATTTGTGCCTCCGAGAGGATCTTTCAACGAATAGGACGTTTTCCAAAACTGCGTAGAAAATGAAACAGCTTGAAATGGAACCAAAGCCTTCGTAATCAGGACCTCATTGGATTGCCCAACTGAGTCAAGTCTCATATACGATAAGAGGTCCGTAACAGGACTTGGATTGGATGTCCCCGTAATTAGATCAAATTGGCCTTTCGCATCAGGTTCACCAAAATATTTAATTGGTCCTTTCCCTTTTTGTTGACTCTTGATAAGAATGACTTAGACACATTCCACTCGATTTACTGCAAGATCTTGAGTACCTTGATTTATCTCCTCAATTTTTTCTTGACTTTGGATTTGCTGATTCCGATTATTGAAATTGAACGGAGCATTACATTACTGAAAAGTATGCCCCAACTGCTTGCAATTCACACACACTAGTGCATAATCATTAGTAGCTCTGGGATTGGGACATTCACTAGTATAATGACTAATTTGTCTAAAATGGAAGCAACAAAGTAGTCTTCTTGCACCTCCATCAGGCATATTAGGTGTCACTATTGGTATATACCTACTAGGCTTATTCCAAGTAGGGTTAGAAAATGATCCTGGTTGTCCCGTTAGTACAACAAGTACTTGATTCAATGTTGCCAATGGAGCATATTGCTAATACCTTTTCTGTTCCTTCCCATAGTTCTGGGGGTTTGATATAGACCCTTGATTAAAATTAGAACTTTGAAAGTTATTAAATGCTAAATTTTATTCATTAGATCGATTTCTATTCCATTCAAACGTATTTTCTACTTGAACTTGATTGATGTCCCACTCAATCGATAGAATCATGGTCTAATTATTGAATTGTTGTTGCCTTTGCCAATTCCAACAATTAGTTGTTAAGTGCTTTCCTCCACAAAATGTACATTGACCTATCATTTGTGAGGGTGAAGGGCATTCTGTTACCAAATGACCATGATCCTTACAATTACTGCACCATACATTGGT